TTCACGCCGAAAACCTGGGTTCGATTCCCGACATGGGTACAATGTGTGAAGCCCATTTCTGGTGTTCCCCGCCGTGATATTGCTGGAATATTGCTAAAAGCTGCATAAAACCAAACTCACTCACTCACTCACTCACTCATATCTGTAGGGATACTAGAGCAGAGTAGGTCCCTAAGACCCCATGCTTGTCACACTGGAGTCAGCTTAATGATGACTGGGTGTCTTGTATCAACAATTATTGCTCTCTCTAGCAACAACAATGGTTTGTCGTACCTAGGTATGGAAATGTTTTAATGTAAGGTCTCTCTTTCTCTTAATCACCTGTTTTACAAATTATATTTCCAAAACTACAAGTCCGATGGTTGTTATGAAGCTTAAAATTATAAACATTATTTTTACGTTTCAAGTGATTTCTCAAAGAATTGTCAGCCAGAGATTAAGTACCTGAAGGGTTACTTTGGTTCCTATGAATTCCTTACTGTAATGATAATCACTCAACAAGAAGTAAAATTTACTTTCCTCAAAATTTTAAATTTAAACCATATAATATTTGAGAAATCTGTGTCGTTGGATCCGTAAACAATAACATTAAAACGTATAATCACTAACTTCAAATATGTGCGTGTGTTTTGCAATAACAATCATTATACTGTGAAATTAAAAAGTATGGCCTTTGATGGCACATCAATGATTGTCATGTCCACAGATCATCCAGGCCAACAGATGTGGATCAGACAAGCTAAGAAATGAGGATATATCTACTCAGGAAACCAGTGTCTTTTTATGCCTTCGGTTCCTTCTCGTAAATATTTCGCAAATGTAGGTCCCAGCCATTACGGAAGTTACCTGTCAATTTGACAGGCCCCGCAAACATTTGAGCCCAGCTAGTTTGCATAGAAGCTGATAAAGATCAGTTATAACAAAGACCTGAAAATAATTTATTGCCGTTTTCTCTGTTGTTTTGAAGGATTCTCTGTGTAGCCTTTCACAGTAGATGGTGTACTCCTGTTGATCAGCTAAACAGCAATAAGTCTCAATCACCATATACACAGAAGCTTTTGTACGCACCGAAAGCAGATAACATGTTTCAGGTTTTGCAAATAATTCCAATGAACTGAAGAATGATTGTTGAGGATTCAACCCTGAGAACATTAGTTACCAAGTAGAGTAACCATGGCAACATTTGTATTTCTTGTAAAGACATTGTTTGAGAAAACAGTGTTACATAACAATATTACCAAGGCTACTATGGAATTCTTAAACTTTGTTTACAGAGAAGAGTAGACAGGGTAAACATGGTAACATTTGTACAATCATTTCCTGTTAATTCAACACTCATTATCCGAGATAATCATATGCAACTGACCATGTTAGATTAACAGGATCTGACTTTATTTGTTATGAAGACTGTATACGAAATAAATATAAATGGTAACTATGTATTCCTGTATATTTTGTTAAACCTTAAAGAAGCAACATCTGTTTTCAATATTCCCCAACTTTACAGAAACAAAGCCCTCATCATTTTACTTTCATCATTTGACTCATGTGAGCTAATATGTGATTATGTTGTCAACAAAGTTCTAACATTTTTTAACTTCCCTTGAACAAATAAATAAATTGAGACAGTGTATTTGTGGAGCTGGATTTTCCATCGCTAATAAAGTATAACAGTTTCAGCCAGGTGAGCTGCAGAACCTTCATACTGTCCTGTTTCCAAAGATTTGGATGGGGATGAATTAATCTTTTTAAAATGGATTTTTGGTTATCTTTCTCGATCAACAGATTGGAACAATATTGAAAATTGATCTGAGAGCAGTGTAAAATTAAATTTGCTGATATGAAAAAAAGACTGGCTGTTATGACATTGACATGTTGTATAACTGAATGTTGGCTTAACACTGAAAATTGATCACCAACATGTCCGCAATCACATTTGTTGATTTCTGTAAAAACAAAGAGCATCTATCAAGCTGAATATAACCCTCTGTGTTTCTTCAAACTGAACATTTAGGTATTGAAAAAAATTTGACTTGTGGAAAAAAAAGTTAAGTATTGTCTTAATTCAAAGGGATCTTTCACTGCCTTGTCCTCCCTGAAGTCATAATATTTGGTTTTTGGTTTTCTGTTCGTGGAAGTTCTGTCATCGTCATTTGAGGAATTATTCATTTTCTTCATACGAGAAAAACTAAAAACTGTAATGGATCATATAGTGATATAGAAACATTGTCTTTGGAATACTTCGTGACTTTTTCCGTGTTTGAAGAAATGTGGTTACTTGCAATGAATTTTTTCTTGTACATGATGATTTATGTATTTTTTACTTTTGAAACGCAGTATTTGTGTCATGGCTGTTTTGAACAAAAGTTTTCTGACATCCTGCACTTTCTTTTGACAAAAATAGAATTCCATAGAAATAAATGTTTACCACGTCTTGATTTTCCTTGTGTCATTGCATTCTCAACGGGCTTTGAAATACCATGCATGTTTTCTGTTTGAAATCCTCAAAGAATCTTGTCACAATCTGAATCTATGGATAGTGCTAACAGCAAAAACCTAGAAAATATAGGGAGATATGTGAAAATAAACTATGATAAGGGCCTTTCATGCTCGTCTAGGTTCTAGAATTGCCATATTACAGACATGTTTAAGCAACTCAGGAAAACTAAAACTATGTTATTAAAGGTTTTGCTAGTGTTCAATATGACTGACAAGTAGCTTTGATTGTAACATTTCATTAAGAAGTGTAAGTGATTGGACAAGTGTGAATTACTGGGCAGGGTTTTATGCAATGCAGATATGTGCATCCCATGCACACAAATGTAGAGAATGGACGATGCAAGAAAAAGACCTTGCATCTGAAGGGACACAAAATGATATTCACTGTACCAAAGTTTTAACAAGAAATATAAAGGTCCTGTCAATTATCAAAACGTACAATACAGTACACTACACCATTTCATTTCTTTTTCAGGACCCTCATATTTCTTGTAAGGAACCTTGAAATAAATTATTAGGGGTCTCATGGACCCCCAGTTTTGTAAGCAAGGTAAAACCCTGACTGGGCCTTCTTTTAACATACAGTTATGTATAGGGTCTTGATGACCCCCAGTTTTGTAGGCAAGGTAAAACCCTGACTGGGCCTTCTTTTAACATACAGTTATGTATAGGGTCTCATGGATCCCAGTTTTGTAAGCAAGGTAAAACCCTGACTGGGCCTTCTTTTAACATACAGTTATGTATAGGGCCTGGTGGACCCCTAGTTTTGTAAGCAAGGTAAAACCCTGACTGGGCCTTCTTTTAACATACAGTTAATGTATAGGGTCTGGTGGACCCCCAGTTTTGTAGGCAAGGTAAAACCCTGACTGGGCCTTCTTTTAACATATAGTCGATGTATAGGGTCTTGTGGACGCCCAATTTTGTAGGCAAGGTAAAACCCTGACTGGGTCTTCTTTTAACATACAGTTATGTATAGGGTCTGGTGGACCCCCAGTTTTGTAAGCAAGGTAAAACCCTGACTGGGCCTTCTTTTAACATACAGTTATGTATAGGGTCTTGATGACCCCCAGTTTTGTAGGCAAGGTAAAACCCTGACTGGGTCTTCTTTTAACATACAGTTATGTATAGGGTCTTGTGGACCCCTAGTTTTGTAGGCAATGTAAAACCCTGACTGGGTCGTCTTTGACTGGGCCTTCTTTTAACATACAGTTATGTATAGGGTCTTGTGGACCCCTAGTTTTGTAGGCAATGTAAAACCCTGACTGGGTCGTCTTTGACTGGGCCTTCTTTTAACATACAGTTATGTATAGGGTCTGGTGGACCCCCAGTTTTGTAAGCAAGGTAAAACCCTGACTGGGCCTTCTTTTAACATACAGTTATGTACATGTGATTACAAGGTGGTGTACATGTCCTGTTGATAACAGATGTTATGCAAGTGAAGGGTGTGGATGTGGAAATGTACATTGCCTTCTTACTTCAAAACAAACCTTTTAGATTTCTTAATAAAACCATGTACATTACAGTGCCAATAACTATTTCAACCTGTGCAAAAACATACATGGCGCATCTTTGACCCACACTAATGTAGACAAATGGATGAAATTGGAAAGACAATGCACGTATTCACAAATTCAGTGAGTGTGGCGTTACACAACAAACAAACACTAACTCACTGAATGTAGGGCCCTTGACATCCTCAAAGTTCTATTTTTCTTCCAGATGTTGGAACACATTGGCCTCTTTCGTCAGTTAAGATCATTCCCCTGTACTTGATGTTATTATAACAAAACCAGATTTATTCACAGTCACTTAACAGCTGATTTTTTTTTTTTTTTGAATCTTTAAATTTTAGAAAGTAAATTGGATGGGGGCCAAATGTTTTGAATCACGATTTTTATTTACATGTATTAAATTCAAGACAAAATATTAATACACTATACAAAATGAAAAAGAAATGACGGTTTATGGTTTAGTATCACCTTGTAAAGTTACTGTGCCTAAATCTTTTTAAGTAAAATATGTAAAAGCAGATTATTGCTATTAACACAAATTTTGACTTGAATTAGTCTCAAGCCCCATGTTTGCTGTGACTTATGAATGTTCTGGTAGGGAGCAGTCGACCACTGATGCCATCAGATGCTCGCAAACAACGAATATAAGCAATAAAGCATGGCAATTTCTTCCTACCTTATCCATCCCAAGCTCTGTATCTGATTACTTTTAAACTCGTTAAATGAACATAAGAAAAAAGAAAGACGTCAAATGACAAAATAAACCAAATAAAATTGACTTAAGAGTGTGTGTTAGTCTGTTTCACAAATCCTAGAGAATAAATGAATTCAACACAAGTCTAGAATGATTTGGCAATAAAGCATTGTTCTTGGCTCCATTATGATTTTGATTTATTTTGTAGATATATACTTTCAAATAAGATAACTTTATATTTGGGACTAAATGTTAGTCTTGGTGTATGTGAAAATCTATGGATGTTATGTTTTCAGATCTGAAAATGGAAGGTGTTTCCAGAAACAGTTTGATCAACAAGCAGCGGTTTTCTGATTGCACATGAGGTGTCTAGAGGTGGCGTTTCCGTGTTGCAAGTAGGTAGCTCTCTGCCTTTATGTAGCCCTACACTCCAGCAGTGTTAATGCTGAAATAGTGCACAAGGACATTTGTGTAGGTGCATGTAGAAACTTCTCTTAACAAGTACATATTTATCATTAAGACAAAATGTTAAGTCGTACTTTGGGATTTTGTTTAATATTTTCATATTTTTAGCTGTTAGAATTAGCATACTAAGAGTTAAAGAGACATTTTCTGGTGCATCTCCATTTGTAAGGAACCCAATTATATTTATTTATGTATTATTTTTCCTCACAAAATGTTGTGATAAAGATGTAAAATTGTCTTCTGTCCATGCCAAAATATTGAAATGAATGGATTAGGAAAGATGGTTTTAGCTTTGATGAAGGACTGACTGTAAGTTGGTCAGCTGTGGCTAGTGTAGACTAACATTTAGTCTCTGAAATCTTATATTACACAATATCCTTCTTGACTCTAAAAATATAAAAGAAATTCCCTATGCATGTATGCTGATTTCATGTGGAATAGAGCTAGCTAGGGCTGGCTAGACTTGCTTTTGTATCCGTTCTAGATTTTTTTAATTTATTTTCTCCATAAAATTAATATATTCCACGGTCATGGTGCAGGACTATGGCTAGTGTAAATGATATTGATATATGATGTAGAAGCTTCTAAAACACACGAGAGACAGCAAGATAACATGTGTGTTGTGTTAGAGGACTCCTGGTTAAGTCATTCACCAGCAGCCATTTGATATGTGTAACTCCAAAGTAACGTCATCGACTCTGGTGCCATCAACATATGGATTCCGCTAATTATCTGATTATTCTCTAACACCTCATGCACATTGAATTGAAAATACATTTACCCAACTTCCTTACCATGATGATATATGTGAACTTGTTTTATTTGCAAGCATGGTACATATATTCTCATGAGTAAGTATCTTTAAAACTTTGAGAATTTGAAATTCAGTTTTCATTGTCAAGAAATGATAAACACGTTTTAACTAAAAAGTTAAACAACTACTAAACTTAAATCATTGAGATATGGATTGTACTGTGAGAAATTGTTGCCATTGCAGAAAATTTAATAAAATTAAAATTATATTGATTTATGACTTACCTTTGCTGAAAATGTCTGGCAGAATCTTTGTTAGATTGTTGCTATGAATAAGTTCACAAAAACAGGAATTCTAATGAGGAAAATGCAAATTTTGCCGCTTTCCCTTGATTCTTCTCACAAGAAGTGACCAATTAAACACATCTGTGCAGGAGAATTTGGTCATGTGACTGTATATGAGACGCTGCATTTCACTCAGTTCATTTTTCTTCAGACAAACATGGCATAATAATGCCAGTATTTTGATTGGTCCAGCCATGGGACATGATGCTTTGCTGTGGCTTTGACATGTATTACCTGTCCATCACATTACCTGTCTGTGAGGGAAGTGCACCCACATGTCAGACGGGAACCATTAATTTCGCCAACATCTTCCTACTTTGACAGGAGTTTATAAAAAAAATGTTGTAAAAATTTGCATTGCTCGTAAATGTTGAGGAAATATACAAATTTTAAGTTTATTACCTGTGGTAAAAATATACTTGTGAGACTGCAGTGTCCTAATTTATTATTACATCTGGATTTTTATGCAGTGGTTTATGTTGTTTGTTTGTTTGTTGTTTAACGCTGCATTCAGCATTATTCCAGCTATATGACCGAGTGGTTTATGTGGTTTGTAACACTGTACCAATACATTGTATTGGGTGTTACTGTATCAGTGTGTATCATTGTGCTAGGGTGTATTGGGTGTTACTGTATCATGGTGTATCATTGTGCTAGGGTGTATTGGGTGTTACTGTATCAGGGTGTATCATTGTGCTAGGGTGTATTGGGTGTTACTGTATCAGGGCGTATCATTGTGCTAGGGTGTATTGGGTGTTACTGTATCATGGTGTATCATTGTGCTAGGGTGAATTGGGTGTTACTGTATTAGAGTGTATCATTGTGCTAGGGTGTATTGGGTGTTACTGTATCAGTGTGTATCATTGTGCTAGGGTGTATTGAGTGTTACTGTATCAGTGTGTATCATTCTGCTAGGGTGTATTGAGTGTTGCTGTATCGGGGTGTATCATTGTGCTCGGGTGTATTGGGTGTTACTGTATCATGGTGTATCATTGTGCTTGGGTGTATTGGGTGTTACTGTATCAGGGTATATCATTGCACTAGGGTGTATTGAGTGTTACTGTATCATGGTGTATCATTGTGCTTGGGTGTATTGGGTGTTGCTGTATCGGGGTGTATCATTGTGCTAGGGTGTATTGGATGTTACTGTATCATGGTGTATCATTGTGCTAGGGTGTATTGAGTGTTGCTGTATCGGGGTGTATCATTGTGCTCGGGTGTATTGGGTGTTACTGTATCATGGTGTATCATTGTGCTTGGGTGTATTGGGTGTTACTGTATCAGGGTATATCATTGCACTAGGGTGTATTGGGTGTTACTGTATCATGGTGTATCATTGTGCTTGGGTGTATTGGGTGTTACTGTATCAGGGTATATCATTGCACTAGGGTGTATTGAGTGTTACTGTATCATGGTGTATCATTGTGCTTGGGTGTATTGGGTGTTACTGTATCATGGTGTATCATTGTGCTTGGGTGTATTGGGTGTTACTGTATCAGGGTATATCATTGCACTAGGGTGTATTGGGTGTTACTGTATCAGGGTATATCATTGCACTAGGGTGTATTGGGTGTTACTGTATCATGGTGTATCATTGTGCTTGGGTGTATTGGGTGTTGCTGTATCAGGGTGTATCATTGTGCTAGGGTGTATTGGATGTTACTGTATCATGGTGTATCATTGTGCTAGGGTGTATTGAGTGTTGCTGTATCGGGGTGTATCATTGTGCTCGGGTGTATTGGGTGTTACTGTATCATGGTGTATCATTGTGCTTGGGTGTATTGGGTGTTACTGTATCAGGGTATATCATTGCACTAGGGTGTATTGGGTGTTACTGTATCATGGTGTATCATTGTGCTTGGGTGTATTGGGTGTTACTGTATCAGGGTATATCATTGCACTAGGGTGTATTGAGTGTTACTGTATCATGGTGTATCATTGTGCTTGGGTGTATTGGGTGTTACTGTATCATGGTGTATCATTGTGCTTGGGTGTATTGGGTGTTACTGTATCAGGGTATATCATTGCACTAGGGTGTATTGGGTGTTACTGTATCAGGGTATATCATTGCACTAGGGTGTATTGGGTGTTACTGTATCAGTGTTATAATTGTGCAAGGGTGTATTGGGTGTTACTGTATCATGGTGTATCATTGTGCTAGGGTGTATTGAGTGTTGCTGTATCAGTGTGCATCATTGTGCTCGGGTGTATTGGGTGTTACTGGTTACTGTATCAGGGTATATCATTGCACTAGGGTGTATTGGGTGTTACTGTATCAGTGTTATAATTGTGCTAGGGTGTATTGGGTGTTACTGTATCATGGTGTATCATTGTGCAAGGGTGTATTGGGTGTTACTGTATCAGTGTGTATCATTCTGCTAGGGTGTATTGAGTGTTGCTGTATCGGGGTGTATCATTGTGCTCGGGTGTATTGGGTGTTGCTGTATCAGTGTGTATCATTGTGCTAGGGTGTATTTGGTGTTACTGTATCATGGTGTATCATTGTGCTAGGGTGTATTGGATGTTACTGTATCATGGTGTATTATTGTGCTAGGGTGTATTGGGTGTTACTGTATCAGGGTATATCATTGTGCTAGGGTGTATTGAGTGTTACTGTATCAGGGTGTCTCACTCTTCTAGGGTGTATTGGGATGGCACTGTATTAGAGTGTATCAATATGTCACCTCTGGTTCTAAATGAAATATCCTGACACAATAATATCGGCAGTTCTGAAAACACATTATGTTTATCTTTTAAGTAGATGGGTTTTTTTTAGAAGGGTCTTTTTATTTGTCAGCTGGTTTCCATAACTAATTTCTGAAAATTATAATTGTTTGTATTTTTATGCTAGAAATAACATGGCTCTTCAAAATCACAACAAGTGGGAAGATTGCAATCCATTTTACACTTCTCTATGAGGTGTACATGCAACTGCTTGGTACATGTACCTTTCGGTTCCATGTGTATTTTCCTGTGGACCCCGAAGTGAAGTGGGGATGGAAAGTAAAAACAGTCTCTGAAGACTATACTTGCCCAAGCTTGCCTCTTAGCATAATTTTCAGAAGAATGTTGTGTTATTCTGGGACAATTAATTAATATGTGTGCTTACTTAACTGAACAAACGTTTACTAGGGCTTCAGACGAGTGGCTAAAGTTGCAGACTGTGAATAGTTAAAAAGGCATACTTGAGCTTGGTTTTATTTATTTTGAATGTCATTACCTCAAACATGGAAGCATTGCGAGAAAATATAGGCAGATCTTATGATCAAAGGTAGAAATGTCTTTAAACTTTCATGAAAATTATGTATTATCTTCCATGCATACATCATATTTACTTTCATTAAGATTATGATAATCTGTAATCTTTTTCTCACATTTAATAATTCACTTTTAGTTCACTTTAGTATATTGTAACGGCACTACAACTGTGTGACCTTGATACTTGATTGTGACCTTGTTGGTGATCCCAGATCACCTTCCAAAGCAGCAGGGGGTCGTTATCGCCAGTAGGGGATTTCCCTGTCAAGATGATTGACAGCTTGTTCGTCTCCTATCGACCTTGATTCCATGATTATTTTCTTTGTCATGGTTTTTGACCATCAAGATTTATGTGTGTCAGTTGATTCCCCTAGCATATGGAGAGTACATGTAAACAGAGGTTATTGCTAGGATTAAGGGTTGAGTCATCCTGGATTATGTCAGATTTAAAGCTGCCGATAGTGTGAAACCCAGATGGTTTATTTAGGTGGTGTTTTTTGTTTCAAGTTTCACATTTAGACTTGTGATAGGATTTATTTGCAGGATTGTGGATAAAATAACTTAAAAGCTGTTT